CTATAAATGTCAGCTAACTTTATCCACCGCTAGCAAAACATTTATGGAAGTGATGGGGGCATGTGTGCAATTGTCAAAATGTCACGGTCAAATAAACTGAAATGAATGTCATATTTGGTTTGATGTTACTAAAAGGGGATTTGGCTCATATCGAGGCTCAAACCCAGGACCTCCTGACAGCCCTCCTGAAGTGCATTACCAATCGGCGCCAATGCGAAAAGCTAGCTATAATCTAGTGCAAGTGGGGACACTTCAGGCTGAGGAGTAAGTTTCACACATCCCCATGTGCCTCACACATGTCCCTTCCATTGATTGTTAGCTAGTGGTGGCTAAAGTTAGCTGAAGGTTGTAGTGGCTGTTTAAAGAAAACCGAAGAATGGATTACATTTTCTCCTGGCCCATAGACTACTTTCAGGGTGAGGAACAATCTAACATCAAGTTGTAAAATCCTGAACTTCCGATGTGCAGGTTTGGACAACCCTAGGTTGCACTATTGGGACTATTCCATTGGTTCCATTATAACAGGCAAGTTAATCTAGTGCACCTCAAGTATTTAACACATGTATTTGACCCAGGTCTGGTATTTTTGTTGCTTCAAATTTGACCCAACTACCTTTGATGTATGGTATATGTACAGTACTGGATATCTGTACCGATGTCCCAAAATTATCATTAAGTGAATTATTGGCCATAGGGATATACGGCATAGAGCTCTCTGGTTGTTGTGTCCAGGTGTGAATGGCTCTTCCAGTGTGTAGGCTCCATGGCACTGTGCGCAAATTACTAAAACCAATTATTTTGCAACATGTTATGGAGAAATAATTCATTATTCTTATTGTGGCGTTAACCATGAATACTGGTATAATATACAATATGATTTATTTGGTAACACTTTACTTTAAGGTAGGCTACACATACAGTATTAACCACTTATTTGTAGTTTATAAGTGTGTATATAAGTAGCTAAAAGGCCTTTATTGTGTCTTATTAGCCATATATTAGGGCTTGTTTAAGTGTTTTCCTATTCAAACATTATAAGTCATGTGTTAGCCATAATAAATACATTATTATTTAATAAAGAGCAAGTTACACAAGAAACATACTTTTTGTAGACCTTCTCCAATTCCTCTCTTCCCTCATCAACTCATCCCACCCCTCTGACTTCAAAATGGCCCGAGTTGCTCCCGTCCTCAAGAAACCAACACTCGACTCATCTGACGTCAAAAACTATAGAGCTGTATCCCTTCTTTCTTTTCTTTCCAAAACACATGACCATGCTGTCTCTGATCAACTTTCTCGTTATCTCTCTCAGAATAATCTTCTTGACCCTAACCAGTCAGGCTTCAAGACGGGTCACTCAACCGAGACTGCTCTTCTCTGTGTCACGGAGGCTCTCCGCATTGCCAAAGCTGACTCTCTCGCCTCTGTTCTCATCCTACTAGATCTATCCGCTGCCTTCGACACTGTGAACCATCAGATCCTCCTCTCCACCCTCTCAGGGCTGGGGGTCTCAGGCTCTGCAGACTCTTGAATTGCATCCTACCTGGCAGGCCGCTCCTACCAGTTGACGTGGAGAGGATCTGTGTCTGCTCCACGTACTCATACTACTGGTGTCCCCCAGGGCTCGGTTCTAAGCCCTCTCCTCTTCTCTCTATACAAAAAGTCCCTCGTCTCTCCTATCATTTCTACACAGATGACACTCAACTACTTTTCTCATTCCCCCTTCTGACACCCAGGTGGCAGCACACATCTCTGCTTGCCTGGCAGATATTTCAACTTGGATGTCGGCCCACCACCTCAAGCTCAACCTCGACAAGACGGAACTCCACAGTGTCGCCCTCTCAGAGTGCAAAGAACCTAGGCATGACCCTGGTTCTCTGCAAACATCAAAGCAGTGACCCGCTCCTGCAGGATCATGCTCTACAACATCCGTAGAGTACGACCCTACCTAAGACATGAAGTGGCGCAGGTCCTAATCCAGGCACTTGTCCTCTCCCGTCTGGACTGCTGCAACTCGCTGTTGGCAGGGCTCCACGCTTGTGCCATCAAACCCCTGCAACTTATCCAGAACACTGCAGCCCACCTGGTTTTCAACCTTCCCAAGATCTCTCATCACCCCGCTTTTCCGCACACTCCACTCGCTTCCAGTCAAAGCTCGCATCCACTACAAGACCATGGTGCTTACCTATGGAACAGCAAGAGGAACTTCCCCTCCCTACCTTCAGGCTATGCTCAAACCCTACACCCCAACCCGAGCACTCCGTTCTGCCACCTCAGGTCTCTTAGCCCTCCCACCCCTACGGGAGGGCAGCTCCCGCTCAGACCAGTCCACGCTCTTCTTTGTCCTGGCACCCCAATGGTGGAACCAGCTTCCCCCTGAAGCTACTGTAGGACAGTAGAGCCCACCCCCCTACTGATAGCTACGTTATTGAGGAAAAATGTACTTTCTCTCCCTGTGATATGTGGTTGTCCCACCGAGCTATCTTAAGATAAGTGCACTAACTGTAAGTCGTTCTTGATAAGAGCGTCTGCTAAATCACTAAAATGTAAAAAAATTAAAAATGTAGTAGCTGTCTCAATGTGGAACTAATAATGACATAGTGTGCTACTTGCAGAAATGTTGTCCAGAAATGACCTCATTGGGCACATCAAATACATATGGAGAGCATCACTATCCAAATTCACATGGAGACCACTGTATTCTAGCAGAAAATGCTAATAATAATAATCTTGTCAAAGGTCTAGTTGGGGATACAGTTTGAGTAAAATCGTTCTAACCCTTGTGTGAAATTCATGAATAGCTCAGTGACAATTGCATTTTCAAATCATGAATCAAGTGATGCATTGCAATAGGAACACAGCTTTCAAAAATATATTCCATTCATTCACTGTTTTAATGGTGTGATGAGTGTGATAGAAGGAGTCAGGCGCAGGAGGGTAAATCACCGAATACAGAGTTTATTCCGTCGTACGCAATTGCGCTGGATAGCGACACACGAAAACAGGCACAGGGGAAACTATCTACCCTGGCAATACACGGTACGGGATACTCCAACAATATACAGGCACAGGGGAAATATCTATCCACCGAGCTACACTACTCTCACAATAAACAATCACCCACAAGGACAAGGGGGGCAGAGGGAACACGGACAAATGAGGGGGTAAGAACCAGGTGTGTGTAATTGACAAGACAAGACAAATGGAATGATGATATATGGAGCGGCAGTGGCTAGTAAGCCGGTGACGACGAACGCCGAAGCCTGCCCGAACAAGTCGTGACAAATGGCCGTATTTTGAAGCCAAAAAGGGGTTTTCATGCAAAAACACTCTCATTTTGAACCTCAGTTCTGGGTCGTTCCATTTGATTTCAATCACTTTTTGTCCGCACCCCTTTTAATTTGAACAAAACTTTTCATACATATTTGCCCATGGTAGAAGTGGTCAGAAAGTGGAGATAGAAGTGTTCAAAGTTGACCCATTTTGCATACCCCACCTTACCATGAGACATCCATGTCTTCATCACTGGAAAAGGTATGTTATAATTTAAAACCTTACCAACAGGGTTGTAAAACTATTTCAACTTAAATAGGAATCGCTATTCTATTATCTATATTTCTATGATTTCAATAGGTTTTGTGTGGAAGATTGACAAAATAATTAAAAACAACTGATGTTCCCATTCAAGTCAACATTATCTGATGTGTGGACCTCCAACCATCTTTGTGCTACCATTTGAAAGTAGAAATTTCAACTTTATCTGCCGTGACATGTACACCCTGTATTCAAGAGCATGCTGTGTATAAACCAATGTCAGTCACAACACAAACACCTCAGATGATCTAAAATAGGGTCTAAGCTACAACATACGAGAAGATGAAAAAAATGGGAGTTCATGCATTTTTAGATAATCGATATTATAGGTTAAAAAAATCATTTTCTTAAATGAAAATATTTTTTCAAATTATTATAATAAAATAGTTTGTTCTACCCTGTTTGCAAGCTTTTAAATGATATCAAACTAAACCGTTTATATTTTCCAGTGATGAAGACATGGATGTCTCATGGTAGGGTGGGGTATGCAAAATGGGTAAACTTTGAGCACCTCTATCTCCTAAATGTTTTGTCATTCAGGTCCAAAAAGTGACTTTCTGACTACTTCTAAGATGGGCAAATATCTATAGAAAGTTTAGTTCAAATTAAAATTGGTGCAGTCAAAAAGTGATTGAAATCAAATGGAATTACCCTTCTACAAGAATATTGATATAAGGACATGAGATGGTGGAGCTACATTCCACAGCACCACATAATCACATTGTGCATTACAACAATACTAATGGCATTTTGAAAACGTTTTGTGTTAATAAATCAATTCATTAGTAATGTAACCAAGGGTTTTCCTTCATATCGAGTCATGAGCAATATTGCCATTGTGTGTAAAAACTCTTTGTGATAAGAGAAACAATACGAAATCGTAGCCTCAGTGTAAGGACAAATAGAGTGAATCAGTAATCACTCTTGTGATAGAAACACACCTGCAGCGTGTTATGTTGGTCTATTGAATGAGTCATAAGAAGATAAACAAAACAAATAAACACAAACACTTTATGAACTGTTTTGGTGTTAGTCAGTCCATATACAGTATATTTTAATAAATAAATAAAATATATCTAATAGATAATTAATGTAATAATAATGGTTATGGTCATTGTCAATGACAATGTCTCTTAGATGATGCGTCAGGGCTATATCCTCCTGGGTTGTGGCTCAACTCAACACTAGGTTGACACATAGGTTTGGTTTATTTGGTTGGTCTCAAGAAATACTTGGTCACGAGGTAAACACATCCAGGAACCACTTGTTGATGACACCTTTTTCTGTGCAATGAGAAAATGGGGTTTAAACCTCTCATACTGGTATGAGAGGGCCATGAAATCCTTGGGACGGAGCCAACCCTTCTGCCACACCTTCACGTCCAGAAGAACCTTCCCTTCACTCAGGTGGTATAAAGCCAAGATCCAAGCTGAGTACCTTTCTCATACCACCTGTGTTCACTACCCAGAGGATCACCATGGGGACAACACAGACACCCACATGGGTATTAATATGGATGGCACTGGCGATTGGTTTGACTGCCTCTCAAAGTGGTAGGTAGAATCCATGATTTTGTTTTACATGAAACCTTGTATTTAGTGTTGACAGGGCTAAACTGTATGTTACTGTATGTCATAGCGCTCTCACAATAGCTCCAATGTTTATCTAATTGGACAGCCTAACAATGAGGGAAAATTTGCTCAAAGCTCAGTCCTGCCTTTATGTGCCTTTAAGCATGAGTTATGGTTGATGAATAGGTAAATGTAGGATTGGCAAGAGAACTACATAACAGAGCCTGAAATACACAGGATTCCACAATGATTTACAGCAAACGCTTCATGTAACTTATTAATATACACTTTGATTTCAGAGGATACATTAAAGGCCACAGTTAACATCATCCCCTCAATGTCAAGGATACCTGAGATTGCAGGTAAGCTTCATAATACATGTGCTATACAGATGTGTAAGCCCTGAGGATGATGACAATGGTTAACAATGTATGCTTACATATCCACAGACAATGGTGAAAGGACAATAACCATGATGGAGACAGTCATAGCAAGTAGTGCAACAGGTTTTGTGGATTAGCTGTTGTTGCAAAGCAAGAAGTAGCCTAGCTAATTCATTTATTGTTCAAGTTCATAAACTTGATAGAGATTAGAAGTACTTTGAAAGTCTTGGTTTTTTAGTTCATAAGTACTCGTTACACAATTTAAACATGGTGAGTGAGTGAAGACAATCTAGCAATCAACCAATGGACTCCTAGTTAAAAGCAAATCTAGATCCTACGAGGGACAAAAATGGGAAATATATCTGCTCCCTGTAGTCTACTCATTTCTTTCTCTGTATCTAAAGATAAAACCTGCTGAATTTTATTCTATCATAGCTGAATTGGTTGTCGTTTTCCCCAGGAGTGAGTCCTATACATAATGGCCAGGTCTGCAGTACGTGGGGTAACTACCACTTCAAGACCTTTGACGGAGACATCTTTCAGCTCCCCTCCACCTGCAACCATGTTGTGACCTCACTGTGTAAAAGCAGCTATGAGGCTTTCAACATCCAGATGAGGCGGCAGGTGGTGGACAACCAGCCAACCATTAGCAAGATCACCATGAAGCTGGATGGCACAGTGGTGGAGCTATCCAAGGGTTCTGTTGTTGTTAATGGGAAGAAGTAAGTTCCTCCAGAATGTGTCATGTAGCTGTATTTCTCAATCAGTGCTCAGTGCTCAAGTAGTTGGATGTCATATTGGTCTCCCAGTGGCTTTGACTTAAAAGATGAGACCCCACCTTGTACTGTGTAACTATGCTCAAGCACACATTTACAGTGATAGAGATGAGAATGTTGTTTTAAAACTACCAATTAAAATGTCATAAAATGATGTCAATTGAGCTAATTGAAAATGGGTTGATCTAAGTTCTAGTTGAATCTAATGCTTTGTCTTCCTCTTCCTCCAGTGCCACCTTACCATTCAGCCAGTCTGGTGTTCTCATTGAAGAGACTCCCTCCTACATCAAGATCAAAGCAAAACTGGGATTGGTAGCCATATGGAACCAGGAGGATTCCTTCTTGGTAGTACAACAATTATGCATTTATGAATATTTCTGTTGTGGATGTCAGAGCTAGGTTTTTGCAGTGTGGTCAATGTCTGCATTTGATGGCCTGTGCTGTGGTGGGCACTTGGAATGACTGTGGGCACTTGGAATGACTTTGTTAACAGCAGTTAACATCATCTTAACAACAGTTAAGGTAGTCCTAATCTGTAGTTATTTTAAGGAATAGGTTGTCTCTGCTGTTAATGTTAGTTTTGTTAGAGTCATTAGCCATTTTTGTCGAGTGTTGTGCGGTTATGGAGGTAATCTGTCGCCCTAAAACTTCTAATGATCTGCTATTTCAGGTGGAGATGGACATCAAATTCAGAAACAAGACCTGTGGTCTATGTGGAGATTTTAATGGAGTTCAGCAATTTGATGAGTTCTATAGACATGGTACATTTCACTGACGCTATCAACATATCAACCTTAGCCTATTATTTGGAATACAGTTGACATTCAACAATAACTGGGTTTATTTTTATGCCAAAGGAATGAAATTGTCCCCTGTCGACTTCGGAATCATCTGGAAATTGGATGGTCCAACTGAAAGATGTACTGAAAACACACTGCCTTCAAATCAGAAATGCCCCAATGTGGTAGGTTAATCTTCATGGATTATGATAAAAATAGGGTTATTGGTAAGGCTGCTGTGTACTTAACAACATGTACAGTGGGGTCCAAAACTATTGACTCCCTTGATAAAGATGAGCAAAAATCACTGTATACTGCTACAGTATATTGTATCCTACAGTATACAATTGCTCAGAATTTTTTTTTTCTCTCCAAAAGGCAGGGTTTAAAATTCTTGATAGCCCTGTTTTCAATACCTTTCAATTCCTCACCTTGCGAGGATAACAGCACTGAGCTTTTTTCTAAAATGTTTTGTGAGTTGGAGAACACATTGTGAGGGATTTTCGACCATTCCTCCATACAGAATCCTTCCAAATCCTTGATATCCTTTGTCTGTGCTTATGTACTGCCTTCTTCAATTCAAACCACAGATTTTCAATAGGTGTCAAGTTCAGGGACTGAGATGGCCAATGCAAAATGTTGATTTTGAGGTCAATTAAGTATTTATTTGTGGCTTTTGATGTGTGCATAGGGTTATTGTCTTGGTGGAAGATCAAAATATCCCCATAACATTAATAATCCACCCCCCAATCCAAGTGCCAAGTGCCAATGTCGTTTAGCAAACTCAAGACGTTAACATTTGTTGGATGAAATTAAAATGGAATTCACTGGCCATTCACACCAATGGTGGGTTTGGCGTCGAAATGAGAATGCATGAGCAGAAAAGAACCCCATACTTACTGTAAAATATGATGGTGTATCTTTGATGTTATGGAGTTATTTTGCTTCCACTGGTCCTTTTTTGTGAAGGTCAACGGCATCATGAACTTTACCCAGTACTAGGACCTTTTAGCCAAAAACCTGGTTGCCTCTTCCAGGAAGCTGAAACTTGGCCACAAGTGGGTCATCCAGCAAGACACTAACCCCAAGCACATATCAAAATCCACAAATAAATTATTTATTGGCCACAAAATCAACATTTTGCAATGGCCATCTCAGTCTCGGGATTTGAAACCCATTGAAATCCTGTGGTTTGAATTAAAGAGTACAGTCCATAAGCGCAGACGAAGGATATCAAGGATCTGGATGGATTCTGATGGAGGAATGGTCTAAGATCCCTCCTATTGTGTTCTCCAACTCATAAAACATTTTAGAAAAAGGCTTGTTGCCGTTATCCTCGCAAGGTGAGGTATTGAAATATATTGAAAACAGGGGACTCAATTATTTTGACCGCTACCTTTTTGAGATTGTTTTTTATTACTTGTTAAACAAAATCTCTTTCTCTGAGCAATTGTATTAGTATAAAATAATATATTTTCCCAACTTTTTCTTTGTATACAATATAGCTCAGTATTTGAATAATTTATTTTATACAGTCATTTCTGCTCATCTTTATCAAGGGTGTCAATCATTTCAGACTCCATTGTATTTGACCTAATTATAACATCTCTCTGTTTTTGTTTGATAGAAACCAGTTTGTGAGCAGTTGCTCTCCGGTCCTGCCTTCAGCAGCTGTAAGGACTTGTTGGCCATCGACTCATTTGTTGAGGCCTGTGTTTCTGACCTGTGCAACTGTGATAACAGCACCAAGTCCTTCTGCCTGTGCAACACCATCTCAGAGTATTCCCGCCAGTGTGTTCATGCAGGCGGGAAACCCAAACAATGGAGGACTGAACAGTTCTGCTGTAAGCATGCCGTTACTCTATCAACATTCAAACCGCACATTGGTCAGTTGGTTGATAAAAATGTAACATACTAATATTTTGAAATAACCTTATCTTTGCAGATAAGACATGCCCCTTCAACATGGAGCACCAGGAGTGTGGAAACCCCTGTGTTGACACCTGCTCCAACCCTGAGAGAGGCCAGCTGTGTGAGGAACACTGCTCAGATGGCTGCTTTTGTCCTCCAGGTAGGCAGACATATTTAAACGTTTTCTGCACATCCTCTTCTTCAAAGAGATGTAATAAAAAATGCATTGGGATGTAGCAGACTATATACTGATAGAATGCAAAACAACTGATCCCATATTGTTGACTGGACTATGTTGCCCTACAAAGGCAACTACAAATGTAGTCAAAACTCTTTGATATGTTGTAATGGCCAGATACTGTATATTATCTGATTAATGTGTCATTTCGTTTCCTGACACAAGAACAATCCCGGTGATCAGAATATATCATGGAGTTTCAGAAATTGCTCTCTGTCTAGACAGAAAAATACTTCAAAGTCAGATTTTGCAGTAAAAAGAAAAACGTAGTTACTGCGTTTTGCGTTTGTAGGGAGGTATGTTGGGAGGGAGACACATAATAAACACATGTATGCTCTCACCCAAAGGCACCGTTTTTGATGATGTCAACAAGAATGGTTGTATTGCCTTGAGTCAATGCTCCTGCCTCCACAATGGAAAAACCTACACACCAGGAGAGTCTTTTTCAAGCACTTGTAAAGATTGGTAAGAAACCCAGGCTAAGAATTCTGACTTGAGTCTAAAAGTTGTTCCAGGGGTGACAATTTGTAAGTTCCATTGAATAATTGATATTTTGCCCTTAGCTCCTGTGGTGGTGGTCAGTGGAAGTGTGCGGACAAGGACTGTCCTGGCACCTGCGCTGTGGAGGGAGGATCCCACATCAACACCTATGATGGAAAAGCCTACACCTTCCATGGGGACTGCTCTTATGTTCTGACCAAGGTCAATATGCAGTTTCCTCACCAAAGACCTGTGTGCATCAATCTCATTCACATAAAAAACATGTTAAAACTTGCTAACTTCTTTTGTAGTTAATATGTCTGTATTACAGATTTTTCTCCAGCTTCTTTACTTTTATTCTGACAAATCCAGTTTTTATGATGACAATTAAAATCAAACTATATAGAACAGGGCTCTCCAACTTTATTCCTGGAGTGCTACTGTCCTGTAGGTTTTCACTCAAACCCTAATTTAGCGCACCTCATTCTAATAATTAGCTGGTTGATGAGCTGAATCAGGTTAGTTACAACTGGGGATGGAGCAAAAACCTACAGGAGAGTAGCTCTCCAGGAACATAGTTGGAGAGCCCTGATATAGAACAACACTATTCATCTTGCATCCATATATTTATTTATGAAGAAATATGGGTTCTTCATGTTTACTCTGTCTCTTGTTTTACACTGAGATATTCATTTTTCAGAAAGATTCACAAGGATATTTCCTTTTATTGAGGCAAGTATTTTGTGACAACTTATTCATGTTTTTTTTCAGGACTGTGATGGGATGCAATTCACTGTACTGGGTGATGTGGTGCAGTGTGGGCTTTCTGACAGTGAGACTTGTCTAAAGGTTGTTACCCTGTCCCTCTCAGAAGGAGCCACTGTAAGTATTAATTGACTGACATGCTCTCAGCCTTTGACTGCAGTGGAAGTTTCTTTTCTCCAAATGTTGTTAAGTTTTAGGTTTGAATGTATTCTTTTAATATACTGAATAAACATATGGATACACAATGCCCCTCTATGCAGGTGATCAACATACAACCCAATGGAAAAGCCTTTGTAAATGGAATCTATTCTCAGCTGCCCTTTTCTGCTGGTAAGTTACAGTTGCACAATAAACATACAGTACTATCAATGTAGTCATGACTAGGCATACATGAAACTTGTGTCCTACAGTTAAAGCACATAATTGTATGGGGAATACATAAGGATAATTGGGAATGTCGTAATGGTGATGTAGCTATATCATTCAACACTGACACATATTTTACTTAACGTCATAATGCTCCATCTTCCCACTTTGTTCCTTATAGCTGGAGTAACCATTTTCAGAGCCTCCTCATTTTTCATCATTGTCCAGACCACCTTTGGCCTCCAGTTGGAAATCCAACTCTCACCAATCATGCAGGTCTATATTGCTGCAAGCACCGTTTGGCAGCAGAGAACTTGTGGTATGTCTCATCATCCGTTGACCAACCACCACATTCCACTGAGGTGTTCATGTTCTGGGAATTATTTATTTTCCCTGTATATAAATACATGTTCATCCTACAGGTCTTTGTGGAAACTTTAACAACAACCAAGGAGATGATTTCAAGGTCCTGAGTGGAGTGACTGAGGGCACAGCCATTAGTTTTGCAAACACCTGGAAAACACGAGCCAGCTGCCCAGACATCAAGAGTAGCTTTGAAAGCCCCTGCAGTTTAAGTCTTGACAATGGTAGCTGCATGTTTTATTACCTTTCCATGTCAGTTTTAAATGTTATGGAGAATGGTGCAAGTGTTTCTTAAAGTCAGCCTAACTATTTCCTGTGGTTTATTTTTTCTCTATTTCAGAGAAATACGCCCAGCACTGGTGCTCTCAGCTGGCTGATCCTAAAGGGTTGTTTGCTCCGTGCCACGCAGCGATAAGCCCAGACATGTACAAAGAAGTGAGACCCTTTCACCATACTATTCATTTCTGACAATTTCCTTAGCATAGCTAATACACAAATGCATGTAACATGTAATGCCAGCTATTATGGGGCAATTGAGAATTACATTGCTTGCTGTTAAATATTGTTTATTTGCAAAGTATTTGTGCATATTATGCACACACAATTAACACAAACTATTGTACAGTATAGTATGGATGCTGTTCTGACTGTGGTTCTCTATTCAGAACTGCATGTACGACAGCTGTAACTGTGAGAAGAGTGAGGACTGCATGTGTGCTGCCGTGTCCTCTTATGTCCACGCTTGTGCTGCCGAGGGCATCCAGCTCAGCGGCTGGAGAGACACTATCTGCAGTAAGTGACAATACCACACCATAATACCTAAGAAGATGTGCAAATTGTGGGAGAATAAGATACAAATATTATAAATATTTACAACTAACACTAATTGTTGCCATCCCCAGCCAAATACTCCACCTCGTGCCCTAGCACCATGGTCTACGCCTACAGCATAAAAAGCAGTGATCGCTCCTGCCGCTGCTACAGCGACTCTGACTTTACCTGTTCAATCACCTTCGAGTCTGTGGATGGGTGTGTCTGTTCTGAGGGAACCTACCTGGATGATGAGGGCAAGTGTGTTCCACCAGCCAGCTGCCCTTGTTATTACAAGGGCTCAGTGGTGTCCCCTGGAGAGGTCATCAGCAAGGATGGAACCATGTGGTATGGACCGAGATATTTACCTACCTATACTCAAACTGTATATCAATGTATTTCACTACACAATGTAAAAAAACACTGAACTGTTGCTCGGTTGCTTGCTTTTCTGCTAATATTTAGTGAACACCTTTTATTGTAAAGGCATATTTTTTCAAACTTTATGAATCAAGAGCCTTAGGCCTTGCTTTCCTGTAGTGAGTATAGGGACATTCAAGTACCATTAACATTATTTTATTTCAGCACCTGCAAGGAGGGCAAACTCCGCTGTATTGGAGATTCACCTGATCAGCCATGTAAGTCCATGTATATAAATTGTCAAAACAACTCACAATTTTGAGCTATTGTACTGTGACAGGCAACACTGCATTTGAATATAAGTCTGTTATTTTAATGGCACTGTGCCAAATCCTATATACTTATATGGTGTGTGGTAATAGTATGCTATTGGCAACAGAACCAGGCTATGTGCAGGTTGAAATATTATATCTCCATCCTAGTACACACTTTACACAGCATATTGATTTTATGAAAGACACAACAGAGTCATGATACATGAATTAACTTTATTTTCACAGCATGTGTTGCACCAATGGTTTTCTTCAACTGCTCCAATGCAAGCCCAGGAATAAGAGGGTTAGAGTGTCAGAAGAGCTGCAATATTCTGGATATGGCCTGTGTGAGTCCCCTATTCACCTTGTCTCCAGGCTATTGCGCACAGTACATATAAACCTGTGTACAAAACATTAAGAACACCTTCCTAACATTGATATTAATACACAATCTGTCTCAAGGCTTAAAAATCCTTCTTTAACCTGTATCCTCCTCTTCATCTACACTGATTGAAGTGGATTTAACAAGTGACATCAATAAGGGATCAATGCTTTCACCTGGTCAGTCCATGTCATGGAAAGAGCATGTTCTTAATGTTTTGTACACCCAGTCATCTAATTCCCTTAGGATTGTGAATTAAAATCGAGTGTAAAATATAAACATTACGTTTTTCTTTTATTGTTACAATTAACATACAAAGAAAAAAAGAAAAAAATATATATTATTATTTTTTGAAAAATATATAACAAAAAATTGTAAAGTGGTTGTCCCACTGGCTATCAAAAGGTGAATGCACCAATTTGTAAGTCGCTCTGGATAAGAGCGTCTGCTAAATGACGTGAATGTAAATGTAAACATATAGTGAACCTCGTCTCCAGGCTATTGCACACAGCACATATAAGCTTGGTACATCAACGATTCAAATGTGGCCTTAATGGGAGTGACCATATAATTCTATGGGAGTGACTTTATTGAGTAAAGTATTTGTCATCATTTCATTTTTGCGAATCACACGACTGCGAGGCGTGGCTCTGTGCTTGTGTTGTGCTAGCGTATGGGGGAGGGCTAGGGGGAAGTTGTTGTGGGAGATGATTGGTTGGTAGATTAAGCCAATTATGCCAACGCCTATATGCTTGGAGTTTCTCCCAGTCTTTCTGTATTGGATAATGGCTAACGAAGGCCAAGTTTGACCTGTCGGTCCACCAGACTCCTCACACATTTGGGCGGAACTTTCTGGAAACCAGATTAACATATAGTTAACACCATTTGTACACAGTAGATTTTCAAATCAATAATTTTTACTTTACAGATCAGCACAGAGTGCATATCAGGCTGTATGTGTCCCTCTGGACTGGTAGCCAATGGAAAAGGAGGATGCATCAAGCCAGACCTTTGTCCTTGTTCTCACAATGGAGCTACTTACCAACCAGGAGACAGCATCAAGGTCGACTGCAATACCTGGTAAGCTCATCTTGCCTCAGTTGGGGTTTTAAACCAACTAAGACTTCAGTCTGATATATCTGTTTTTGCCACTTTCAGCACTTGTAAAGACAGAAAATGGCAGTGCACAACAAACCTGTGTCATGGAACCTGTGCCATTTATGGAGATGGACACTACATTACTTTTGATGGGAAACGATTCACTTTCGAAGGAGACTGTGAATACACTCTTACAAAGGTATGCTTGCAGGGTAACTTGATAGTCTAACTGATCAACACCAATATTATAATACTTTTTTTATTGGTCAAGTATTAATACATGCTGACCAATAAGGGTTTGTGTTTACTTTTTTAAGGTATGTACTGTAGGCGTTTCTGGGGAGTTTGAAAAGCAACATTTGAAACTGGACATTATCTACTGTTGCTTTGTGGAAGCTGCTATAGCATTCCCAACAAGCTGAACCTTTTCACTATTCCAATGATTGACTTACTGCATGTGTGGTTGGAGATAATGTACCATCCACCAAAATACTGTGTTGGCTGTTGTTAAATGTATGACTGAAATTGAGTCTACCTTAAACAGGACTACTGTGGTAACAACAATGCCAACGGCAGCTTCAGAGTCATCACTGAGAACGTCCCTTGTGGAACAACAGGCACCACCTGCTCCAAGGCCATCAAGCTCTTCCTGGGGGTAACTAGATTCCTGCTTCCTGCCTGGCACATACCATTACTGAAGCCAAGACTACTACTATTCATTCATTCATACATACAGTACCATACATACATACTATAAAGCATACTAAACAGAATACATAAATCAAAGCTTCATGAGGCAAAGATATAGCATAAATTATAACATAAGGAGTAATTAGATGAATTAATATCTTAATAACTATACACTCAAACTATTTTTTAAATCTCTTTCAGAACAATGAATTAATCCTGACAGAAGGAAACTACCAAGTTGTTGAGAGAAATTCAGGGGAGGCGGTTCCCTACCAGATTCGCACAATGGGCATCTACCTTGTGATTGAAGCAAATAATGGTTTGATTCTCATGTGGGACAGGAAAACAAGCATGTTCATCAAACTTAACCCACAGTTCAAGGTACATTTGAACTTTGATTGAATGACATATTAGATTTGTAAATATGTTTCTAGTATTCCATCAAATGATATTCACAAGTCTGTTATGACTCCTTTTATCACTCAACTGAATCTAATGCTATGTCCTATTCAGGGACATGTCTGTGGTCTGTGTGGAAACTATGATGGCAACGCAAACAATGACTTCACCACCAGGAGCCAGGCAGTTGTTGTCAAGCCTCTAGACTTTGGAAACAGCTGGAAAGTCTCTGCAAGCTGCCCCGATGCAAAGACCAAAAGGAGCCCCTGTATTGCCAACCCTTATAGGCAGTCTTGGTCACAGAAACAGTGCAGCATCATACAGAGCAACGTTTTCACAGACTGCCATTCTAAAGTAAGTTAAGACTTTAGTTGTTCACTGAATGTTTTGGAATTTGATATGATCATGTCGACTAAATTCTGTTTTCCAATTAGGTGGACCCCTCTCCTTTCTACGATGCTTGTGTGACAGACTCATGTGCTTGTGACAGTGGTGGAGACTGTGAGTGTTTCTGTACCGCTGTGGCAGCTTATGCAGAGGCCTGTAATGAGGCTGGAGCCTGCATAGCCTGGAGAAGCCCACAAATCTGCCGTGAGTCTCTAAATGTTCAACTCATTTAAGTGCTGACATAAAAATAGACTTAATCCAGTCAGTTTAAACCGAATTGAAGATAATACTTACAGAGAGCTTTTGTCCACCACATACAGCACTGTTCTGTGATTACTACAACCCCCCTGGAGAATGTGAGTGGCACTACAAGGCATGTGGAGCTCAGTGTATGAAGACCTGCAGGAATCCCTCCGGGAGCTGCTCCACTCAGATACCACCTCTTGAAGGTACAGTAGACATTCATTTAGGATCTATTTTGGGAAACAACAATTTTCCATAACAAAATCAAATCAAATGTTATTTGTCATATGCGCCGAATACAACACCGTGAAATGCTTACTTACAAGCCCTTAATCAAGAAATAGAGTTAAGAAAATATTTGCTAATTAAGCTAAAGTAAAAAAAAAAAAAAAAAGTAACACGTTAAGATTGCATAACAATAACAAGGCTATATACAGGGGGTACCGGTACCGAGTCAATGTGTGGGGGTACAGGTTAGTCTAGGTAATTTTAACCACTGTAGGTAGGGGTAAATAGTCCGGGTGGCCATTTGATTAATTGTTCAGCAGTGTTATGGCTTGGGGGTAGAAGCTGTTAAGGAGCCTTTTGGACCTAGACTTGGCGCTCCGGTACCGCTTGCCATGCAGTAGCAGAGAGAACAGTCTATGACTTGGGTGGCTGGAGTCTTTGACAATTGTATGGGCATTCCTCTGACACCACCTAGTATATAGGTCCTGGATGGCAGGAAGCCTGGCCCCAGTGATGTATTGGGCCTTACGCACTACCCTCTGTAGGGGATGCCGAGCAGTTGCCAAACCAGGCTGTGATGCAACCGGTCAGGATGCTCTCGATGGTGCAGCTGTATAACTTTTTGAGGATCTGGGGACCCATGCCAAATCTTTTCCGTCTCCTGAGAGGGAAAAGGTGTTGTCGTGCCCTCTTCACGACTGTCTTGGTGTGTTTGGACCATGATAGTTTGTTGGTTATGTGGACACCAAGGAACTTGAAACTTTCGACCTGCTCCACTACAGCCCCGTCGATGTTAATGGGGGCCTGTTCGGCCCACCTTTTCCTGTAGTCCACGATCATCTCCTTTGTCTTGCTCACATTGAGGGAGAGGTTGTTGTCTTGGCACCACACTGTGGGCTGTCTCATCATTGTCGGTGATCAGGCCTACCACTGTTGTGTCGTCAGCAAACTTAATGATAGTGTTGGAGTCGTGCTTGGCCATGCAGTCGTGGGTGAACAGGGAGTACAGGAGGGGACTAAGCACGCACTCCTGAGGGGCCCCGGTGTTGAGGATCAGCGTGGCAGATGTGTTGTTGCCTACCCTTACCACCTGGGGACGGCCCATCAGGAAGTCCAGAATCCAGTTGCAGAGGGAGGTGTTTAGTCCCAGGGTCCTTAGCTTAGTGATGAGCTTTGTGGGCACTATGGTGTTGAACACTGAGCTGTAGTCAATGAACAGCATTCTCACATAGGTGTTCCAGTTTTACAATCATCAAATATTTAGAAGAATAACTGTCTGAGGTCATTTGAGATATTCTTTATTTTTCACTCAGTTTCTATTCCCTGTGTTTCTTCACCATATCCCTCTATCAATCAATTGCTTTTTGATCATTAATATTAATATATTTTTCTTCTTCTTTAGGTTGCTATCCAAAATGTCCTCCTGCTCAACCCCTATTTGATGAAGATACAATGCAATGTGTGGAGAAGGAGCAGTGTGGCTGCTATGGCAGAGATGGAAAACACTACAATAATGGAGAAAAAGTACCGACCACAGAAAACTGCCAGACATGGTATGCCTTTAGTAATACAGAGAATTTTGGTCTTCCCTAAAATTGTGAACACCGTAACTGTGTTTGAATGTCAAGAATGAAAGTACAATTGTAAATGTTTCTTTTTCCAAAGCTATTGTAATTCCGTGACAGTGGACTGCAAATACGATGAACAAGGTATGAATGGATCCTTCAACTAAAACAACAACACATAAATTATTTATTCACCATTCCAGTACCCTAAAATATATCTTACCCTTTCAGCTTGCACTTGTACCTACAATGGGAACAAATACCCCAATGGACATACCATCTATCACACCACAAATGGGCACGGCAGTTGTATCACAGCCGTTTGTGGGAAGAATGGAACCATTCACAGGGACATGTACCCATGTTCAACTCCAGCTCCAGCTTCAACTCCATCTGTTCCTAACTCTACTCCATCCTCTACATTGACAACAACTGTCTTTACTTTCTCAACACCCACAACTGGTGGGTACCTGAGACTGAGACTTGAATGACTGTGAATTAGTTGTTGTATGAAGTTATGTGAAATGTAAAAACTACAGCAGGTATCTTTTGCGATCAAAATGGCTAAGAACATTGCTAATTATGCACCTAAATTACCTGTTTTTACACAATTTAAAATGGTTTGTTTGTTTTAAACTGTTATGTAATCCCTGTCTCTATAGAACCAGCCACAACTTCAACAGAGACAACACCGTATCCAACATCCTTTACTACAACATGTGGCTATCCATGTGTATGGTCACAATGGTTTGATACCACATTCCCTACACTTGGAACTCCAGGAGGAGACTCTGAAACCTACAACAACATAAGAGCAGAGGGACACGATATATGTGAGAAGCCAAGCAAGATTCAATGCAGAGCCGAGAAGTACCCAAATGTTAGCATAAGCCAAGTGGGCCAAGTGGTTCTGTGTAATGTTGCAGAAGGTTTGACTTGCAGAAATGAAGACCAGTCAGGCCCATTCCCACTGTGCTTTAACTACCAAGTTCGAGTCCTCTGCTGTGATGAAAATCTTTGCACATCTAAGCCTACAACCATTGCACCAACAACTACAAGGCCACCTTTTACAACAACAACAACTACAACAGAAACCACCTCCACTATATCAACAACCACGTTGACTACAAAAACCCCTAACTGCACAGTTTGTGAGTGGTCACCTTGGTATAATGTGGACTATCCTCAATTTGGTCCTGGGGGTGGCGACAATGAATCAATTAAAAAGATTATACAATCTGGAAAAGATATTTGTGAAAAACCAGTGGATGTCATGTGCCAAGCAGTGCGATATCCAGGGGTCCCATTGTCTGAATTAGGACAGAAGGTAGAATGTAATACGGAGGTTGGACTAATATGCCAGAACAAAGATCAAGGCATTCCTCCAATATGCCTTGACTATGAAATTAAGGTGAAGTGTTGTAAGACTGTGAAATGTCACACTACAACAAAAGTACCTATAACTACACCTACTGTCACAACTACAACAATGTCAACATCCACATTACCTACAACAACAAGTAAACCAATGACAATCACTACTCCTCCAACCTCAACTCAACCTCTAACCACAACTACAACTCCTACCACTACTCCAACACCCACAACTACAATCTTAACATCGACTGCTCCACCAACCACATCAACAACAATTCCTCCCACCACTACTCCAACACCCACTACAAAGACCTCAACATCGACAGCTCCACCTACAACAACAACAACTCAGCCTCCCACCTCTACTACAACTCCAACCACTACTCCTATATTTACCTACTCTACCCCCTGCAGTGGTGAAGAAAGTTGTGTGTGGTCAGATTGGATCAACCTTGGTCAGCCAACCTCTGGATCTGAAGGTGGAGATAATGAATCCATTAAGAACATCATTGCTGCTGGTTATCACATTTGCTCATCTCCAGAGGCAGTTGAATGTAGAGCAAAACAATACCCTGGACTTCAGATCTCTCAGCTTGGCCAAGACGTGACTTGCAATCCATCCGTTGGACTGATTTGTAACAACAATAAGCAAGGTCTTCAGCAAAAGTGCTTTGATTACGAGATTCGAGTGAAATGTTGTCAATGTGGACCCACAACACACATCCCAACCACAACAACAACATCAACAGTTCCTCCAACCACAACTCCTACACCCACTACTAAAACCTTAACATCGACAGTTCCATCTACAACAAAAACAACAACTCAGCATCTCAGCCCCACTACAACTCCAACCACTACTCCTACATCAACCTCAACAGGAGTAACAACTACCCACTGCAGTGGTGAAGAAACATGTGTGTGGTCAGACTGGATCAACCTTGGTCAGCCAACCTCTGGATCTGAAGGTGGAGATAATGAATCCATTAAGAACATCATTGCTGCTGGTTATCACATTTGCTCATCTCCAGAGGCAGTTGAATGTAGAGCAAAACAATACCCTGGACTTCAGATCTCTCAGCTTGGCCAAGACGTGACTTGCAATCCATCCGTTGGACTGATTTGTAACAATAATAAGCAAGGTCTTCAGCAAAAGTGCTTGATTATGAGATTCGAGTGAAATGTTGTCAATGTGGAACCACAACACACATCCCAACCACCACAACAACAACAGTTCCTGGAACCACTACTCCTACACCCACTACTACAACCTCAACATCGACAGCTCCACCTACAACAAAACAACAACTCAGCATCTCAGCCCCACTACAACTCCAACCACTACTCCTACATCAACCTCAACAGGAGTAACAACTACCCACTGCAGTGGTGAAGAAACATGTGTGTGGTCAGACTGGATCAACCTTGGTCAGCCAACCTCTGGATCTGAAGGTGGAGATAATGAATCCATTAAGAACATCATTGCTGCTGGTTATCACATTTGCTCATCTCCAGAGGCAGTTGAATGTAGAGCAAAACAATACCCTGGACTTCAGATCTCTCAGCTTGGCCAAGACGTGACTTGCAATCCATCCGTTGGACTGATTTGTAACAATAATAAGCAAGGTCTTCAGCAAAAGTGCTTTGATTATGAGATTCGAGTGAAATGTTGTCAATGTGGAACCACAACACACATCCCAACCACCACAACAACAACAGTTCCTGGAACCACTACTCCTACACCCACTACTACAACCTCAACATCGACAGCTCCACCTACAACAAAAACAACAACTCAGCATCTCAGCCCCACTACAACTCCAACCACTACTCCTACATCAACCTCAACAGGAGTAACAACTACCCACTGCAGTGGTGAAGAAACATGTGTGTGGTCAGACTGGATCAACCTTGGTCAGCCAACCTCTGGATCTGAAGGTGGAGATAATGAATCCATTAAGAACATCATTGCTGCTGGTTATCACATTTGCTCATCTCCAGAGGCAGTTGAATGTAGAGCAAAACAATACCCTGGACTTCAGATCTCTCAGCTTGGCCAAGACGTGACTTGCAATCCATCCGTTGGACTGATTTGTAACAATAATAAGCAAGGTCTTCAGCAAAAGTGCTTCGATTATGAGATTCGAGTGAAATGTTGTCAATGTGGAACCACAACACACATCCCAACCACCACAACAACAACAGTTCCTGGAACCACTACTCCTACACCCACTACTACAACCTCAACATCGACAGCTCCACCTACAACAAAACAACAACTCAGCATCTCAGCCCCACTACAACTCCAACCACTACTCCTACATCAACCTCAACAGGAGTAACAACTACCCACTGCAGTGGTGAAGAAACATGTGTGTGGTCAGACTGGATCAACCTTGGTCAGCCAACCTCTGGATCTGAAGGTGGAGATAATGAATCCATTAAGAACATCATTGCTGCTGGTTATCACATTTGCTCATCTCCAGAGGCAGTTGAATGTAGAGCAAAACAATACCCTGGACTTCAGATCTCTCAGCTTGGCCAAGACGTGACTTGCAATCCATCCGTTGGACTGATTTGTAACAATAATAAGCAAGGTCTTCAGCAAAAGTGCTTTGATTATGAGATTCGAGTGAAATGTTGTCAATGTGGAACCACAACACACATCCCAACCACAACAACAACAACAGTTCCTCCAACCACAACTCCTACACCCACTACTAAAACCTTAACATCGACAGTTCCATCTACAACAACAAGTCGGCCTCTCAGCTCTACTACAACTCCAACCACTACTCCTACATACACCACAACAGGAGTATCAACTACTCCCTGCAGTGGTGAAGAAACATGTGTGTGGTCAGACTGGATCAACCTTGGTCAGCCAACCTCTGGATCTGAAGGTGGAGATAATGAATCCATTAAGAACATCATTGCTGCTGGTTATCACATTTGCTCATCTCCAGAGGCAGTTGAATGTAGAGCAAAACAATACCCTGGACTTCAGATCTCTCAGCTTGGCCAAGACGTGACTTGCAATCCATCCGTTGGACTGATTTGTAACAATAATAAGCAAGGTCTTCAGCAAAAGTGCTTCGATTATGAGATTCGAGTGAAATGTTGTCAATGTGGAACCACAACACACATCCCAACCACCACAACAACAACAGTTCCTGGAACCACTACTCCTACACCCACTACTACAACCTCAACATCGACAGCTCCACCTACAACAAAAACAACAACTCAGCATCTCAGCCCCACCACAACTCCAACCACTACTCCTACATCAACCTCAACAGGAGTAACAACTACCCACTGCAGTGGTGAAGAAACATGTGTGTGGTCAGACTGGATCAACCTTGGTCAGCCAACCTCTGGATCTGAAGGTGGAGATAATGAATCCATTAAGAACATCATTGCTGCTGGTTATCACATTTGCTCATCTCCAGAGGCAGTTGAATGTAGAGCAAAACAATACCCTGGACTTCAGATCTCTCAGCTTGGCCAAGACGTGACTTGCAATCCATCCGTTGGACTGATTTGTAACAATAATAAGCAAGGTCTTCAGCAAAAGTGCTTCGATTATGAGATTCGAGTGAAATGTTGTCAATGTGGAACCACAACACACATCCCAACCACCACAACAACAACAGTTCCTGGAACCACTACTCCTACACCCACTACTACAACCTCAACATCGACAGCTCCACCTACAACAAAAACAACAACTCAGCATCTCAGCCCCACTACAACTCCAACCACTACTCCTACATCAACCTCAACAGGAGTAACAACTACCCACTGCAGTGGTGAAGAAACATGTGTGTGGTCAGACTGGATCAACCTTGGTCAGCCAACCTCTGGATCTGAAGGTGGAGATAATGAATCCATTAAGAACATCATTGCTGCTGGTTATCACATTTGCTCATCTCCAGAGGCAGTTGAATGTAGAGCAAAACAATACCCTGGACTTCAGATCTCTCAGCTTGGCCAAGACGTGACTTGCAATCCATCCGTTGGACTGATTTGTAACAATAATAAGCAAGGTCTTCAGCAAAAGTGCTTCGATTATGAGATTCGAGTGAAATGTTGTCAATGTGGAACCACAACACACATCCCAACCACCACAACAACAACAGTTCCTGGAACCACTACTCCTACACCCACTACTACAACCTCAACATCGACAGCTCCACCTACAACAAAAACAACAACTCAGCATCCAAGCCCCAGCCCCAGCCCCACTACAACTCCAACCACTACTCCTACATCAACCTCAACAGGAGTAACAACTACCCACTGCAGTGGTGAAGAAACATGTGTGTGGTCAGACTGGATCAACCTTGGTCAGCCAACCTCTGGATCTGAAGGTGGAGATAATGAATCCATTAAGAACATCATTGCTGCTGGTTATCACATTTGCTCATCTCCAGAGGCAGTTGAATGTAGAGCAAAACAATACCCTGGACTTCAGATCTCTCAGCTTGGCCAAGACGTGACTTGCAATCCATCCGTTGGACTGATTTGTAACAATAATAAGCAAGGTCTTCAGCAAAATTGCTTCGATTATGAGATTCGAGTGAAATGTTGTCAATGTGGAACCACAACACACATCCCAACCACCACAACAACAACAGTTCCTGGAACCACTACTCCTACACCCACTACTACAACCTCAACATCGACAGCTCCACCTACAACAAAACAACAACTCAGCATCTCAGCCCCACTACAACTCCAACCACTACTCCTACATCAACCTCAACAGGAGTAACAACTACCCACTGCAGTGGTGAAGAAACATGTGTGTGGTCAGACTGGATCAACCTTGGTCAGCCAACCTCTGGATCTGAAGGTGGAGATAATGAATCCATTAAGAACATCATTGCTGCTGGTTATCACATTTGCTCATCTCCAGAGGCAGTTGAATGTAGAGCAAAACAATACCCTGGACTTCAGATCTCTCAGCTTGGCCAAGACGTGACTTGCAATCCATCCGTTGGACTGATTTGTAACAATAATAAGCAAGGTCTTCAGCAAAAGTGCTTTGATTATGAGATTCGAGTGAAATGTTGTCAATGTGGAACCACAACACACATCCCAACCACCACAACAACAACAGTTCCTGGAACCACTACTCCTACACCCACTACTACAACCTCAACATCGACAGCTCCACCTACAACAAAAACAACAACTCAGCATCTCAGCCCCACTACAACTCCAACCACTACTCCTACATCAACCTCAACAGGAGTAACAACTACCCACTGCAGTGGTGAAGAAACATGTGTGTGGTCAGACTGGATCAACCTTGGTCAGCCAACCTCTGGATCTGAAGGTGGAGATAATGAATCCATTAAGAACATCATTGCTGCTGGTTATCACATTTGCTCATCTCCAGAGGCAGTTGAATGTAGAGCAAAACAATACCCTGGACTTCAGATCTCTCAGCTTGGCCAAGACGTGACTTGCAATCCATCCGTTGGACTGATTTGTAACAATAATAAGCAAGGTCTTCAGCAAAAGTGCTTTGATTATGAGATTCGAGTGAAATGTTGTCAATGTGGAACCACAACACACATCCCAACCACCACAACAACAACAGTTCCTGGAACCACTACTCCTACACCCACTACTACAACCTCAACATCGACAGCTCCACCTACAACAAAAACAACAACTAAGCATCCCAGCCCCACTACAACTCCAACCACTACTCCTACATCAACCTCAACAGGAGTAACAACTACCCACTGCAGTGGTGAAGAAACATGTGTGTGGTCAGACTGGATCAACCTTGGTCAGCCAACCTCTGGATCTGAAGGTGGAGATAATGAATCCATTAAGAACATCATTGCTGCTGGTTATCACATTTGCTCAGCTCCAGAGGCAGTTGAATGTAGAGCAAAACAATACCCTGGACTTCAGATCTCTCAGCTTGGCCAAGACGTGACTTGCAATCCATCCGTTGGACTGATTTGTAACAACAATAAGCAAGGTCTTCAGCAAAAGTGCTTTGATTACGAGATTCGAGTGAAATGTTGTCAATGTGGACCCACAACACACATCCCAACCACAACAACAACATCAACAGTTCCTCCAACCACAACTCCTACACCCACTACTAAAACCTTAACATCGACAGTTCCATCTACAACAACAAGTCGGCCTCCCACCTCTACTACAACTCCAACCACTACTCCTACATACACCACAACAGGAGTATCAACTACTCCCTGCAGTGGTGAAGAAACATGTGTGTGGTCAGACTGGATCAACCTTGGTCAGCCAACCTCTGGATCTGAAGGTGGAGATAATGAATCCATTAAGAACATCATTGCTGCTGGTTATCACATTTGCTCAGCTCCAGAGGCAGTTGAGTGCAGAGCTAAACAGTACCCTGGACTTCAGATCTCTCAGCTTGGCCAAGATTTGACTTGCAATCCATCCGTTGGACTGATTTGTAACAACAATAAGCAAGGTCTCCAGCAAAAGTGCTTCGATTATGAGATTCGAGTGAAATGTTGTCAATGTGGACCCACAACTCACATCCCAACGACCACAACATTGGCTCCCACAACAACAATGACAACAACTCAGCCACCCTTCACTAGTGTTATTCCTACAACCTCATTAGTTGTAATAACTGGTGGAACAACCAAACCAACGATTCCATCCACTGAACACATTAATTGTTCTTGCTACTTCAATCATACTGATTTCCCCATTGGTAAGTTTTAATATTCCCCCTTTCCAAGTTTGAAACCTTTTGTACGTTACCATTAATTTACCCATTATTAATGTTCAATTTGTATGGCATTATACACGTTAAATTTGAAATCTTTTAATGCTCCTAAAATACTTTCAGGCTCAAATGTCTACAATGTCTCTGACCATGATGGATGGTGCTACTATGCTTTCTGCAACAATACTTGTGAAGTAGAAACACATTCTACCAGATGTAATACATCAACTACTCCAGTTCCTCCTACTACACCAACCACTACACACCTTTCAACAACAACAGAAAGACCAACCACCACCCCAAAACAACCACCTCCTAACTGTGACCATGACCATCCTCCAAGACTGGTATTTACTCTGCTATAGATAATAACTTTTGTGGAATCATTCCATAGGAATTATTATTTACAAAATGATGATTTTATTACAAAAATAATTGTTTTATTTCATAGATATTTCCTGTAAGCCTAATATTTTTCTGTGTTTGTAGAACGGTGAAAGCTGGATCCATAACCAGTGCACCAATGGAACATGCGCCAACGGGAAAGTTATTTATGAGCATGTACAATGTGAGACTCCGAAGCCTATAGCATGTGAAAATAACTATCCTCCAATCCAAGTGTATGACGAATCTGGATGCTGTTTCCACTATGAGTGTCAATGTAAGTTCACAAAATCCACTTTAGCTATTGATTTTAGTTCAAAATCTGAAAAATTATACTTACTATTGACTGGTTTCGAGTTATCTAATAGTTACCAGCAGTAAATGTATATGAATGTCTAACAAGGGAAACATATCATCACAGCACTATTAATTCAGCATAAAACATTCCACATCCGTGTGCTTTTAAATGATAATTGTTCTCTTCTTACAAAGGTATCTGCTATGGTTGGGGAGACCCTCACTATGTCACCTTTGATGGAACATACTATGGCTTCCAAGGAAATTGTTCTTACGTCTTGGTCAAAGAAATCCTGCCAAAGTACAACTTCAGTGTTGTAATCGACAATTACTATTGTGATGCCCCAGATGGGCTTTCCTGTCCTCAGTCTCTGACAATTTATTATCAATCTTACGAGATATTCATGACCAAGAAGGACGTTGATGGAGTTTTCACAAGTCTGGTAATTAAAATATCTAAAATACTGAATGTTCAAGACATTTTCATTCATTTTTCATTTAAGAGGAATTAGCTTTTTGATTAGCTTAGATATAAATTAGCTTTCATTTAAGATGGATATACTTCCTCTATGTATTAGATAAAGGAGACAGTTCTAGAATAGTATTGGGTATACAAATATTGAATTATTGTAACCATTTTTGTCTTAGATTGATGTAAACCAGCAACGCATCATCCCAGCATATGAGACCAAGGACTTCCGCATCACAGACAACGGAATTGACACCCTTTTAGTCATACCAGCAATTAATGCCAAGGTGTCTTTCACTGGTCTTATGTTTAGCATATACCTGCCCTGGGACAAGTTCAGTGGCAACACTGAGGGACAGTGTGGTGAGTACAGGTGTTTTACGGTCACTCTGTTACCATGATTACCCCATGATGTCTCATTGTCTAACAATGGTATTCAATATTATTCAGGGACATGTGACAACAACCGGACAGATGACTGTCGCTTGCCAAATGGGACTATCGATTCATCTTGTCCTGACATGGCACACCAATGGCATGTTGCTGACCACAATAACAGTCAGTGCACGCCACCACCACCAGAGCCGACACCACCACAACCAACATGCAGCGATCCACCTATTTGTCATCTCATTCAAAGCGAGTAAGTAGCAATTCGTATTTACAAGAAACCTATCTTCTCTGTAGGATCGATAACCTTTCAATCAGAATCATCTCAGTGCCAGCAACTTGACATACTAAAACACGGCAATCATTTGAAAAAGCCTGAAGACAGTACGAAGTGAATTATCGTGTTTAAGTATCTACTCTAACTGAAGCGTGGCATCTTTTTAAGGGTCTTTGAGAGTTGCCATAAGGTAATCCCCTACGAGCCATTCCTTGTGGCATGCATCTTTGATGTGTGTCATATGAGAGATGTCAAAATTGGCTGCACCAGCATGCAGACCTATGCTGATGCATGTGCACAAGCAGGAGTCTGTATTGAGTGGAGAAATTATACAAATGGACAATGTGGTAAGTAGATCACTCCTCAAGACCATAAAACTCAGACAGACTCTGTATGATGTAGCTTATTAGTTATTAACCTTTTTCTCTCACCCTCTACAGACTTCACATGCGAGAAACCCAAGGTTTATAATGCCTGCGGTCCACAGGTTGAACCAACCTGTAATGCCTGGTATGTATAATGCTGTTGTTGTTCAGTGGATGGGCATAATGATGGGGAAAAGTCTCTCAGGTATTGACACTTTTTAAATATCTCTGCAGGTACAATTTTAAATTCATCCAGACTCAAAATGAGTTCAGTGTCATGGGAGATATAGAATTGGAGGGATGTTATTGCCCCAATGGTACCATTCTGATGAGTTCCACTTCAAACTACTGTATCCCCAGCTGTGGTAAGGATGGTTCAATAACAGCATTGTATGATGACGGTGTGGTGACTGACAGTATGGTGCTGTGATAGTAGCTACATCCTGCTGACCTTCACTTTGGGAATCACAAAGTGTTAATTGTTCATTGCTACTGTAATTGTCTTTTGAAAGCTGGTTCAGCTTTTTGTAAAAAAACAACAACAAAGAAAACTGTTTAACCACAGCATTTTTCACAGATACTTCAATGGTGTTGGTTTTGGTTTATATTGATTTATATTGATTTTATCAAGTGCTTCCGGTACATACAGTACATTATCAAAACTAAGTAGTGGAATGTACTGTATTTCAATTACAATGTATTATTTTCTCTTTGGTTCGTCAGATATTTGCCCGTTGCCAAATGGAGAATGGAAAGAGGTAAAATTGTAGTTGAATTTCTCTCACAGGTTTTAGCAGAGAACAGAAACAATTTGTTTCTGATATACACATTAACATCATGTGGGTAGTTCACTTTTGACAATCATGTATAATAATGTATGCAATAGTAATAATAATAATAATAATAACAATAATAATAATAATTTATTACATTTCTATAGTGCTTTTCTTAGAACCTCAAAGCGCTTCAGTAATGCATGATTCCACACACAGAATGATTGAACTTTGTGCTGGTCGTGTCAATGCAAACCTTGATGAGCTTAAATTGTTCCTCATTGCAGGCTAATGAGACCTGGGTGAGCAACTGCCAGGATTGTGTTTGTGACCAGTACAGTCTGGAAATCCAATGCCAGCCTGTGGCATGCCAACATCAGCCTCCTCTCACCTGTGATCAGGAGGGCCAAGTTAAGGTCGTAGAAACTGTTGACTGTTGTCAAAAGGACAAATGCGGTGAGTGACTTGTTAGGATAATGTGCTCTATATGTGGGCTTTCTAACATCTCCATTTAAACATTAACATTTTTGGTGACTACCTAATATATCCAACCAATGTGGCCATTTTCATCGTTTTTAAAACAATAGTTGTTTCTTTCTAACAGAGTGTGATGTCAAACGATGCTCTACTTCCAAGATAACTTGTCCAGTCGGATTCGAGATAGAGGCAACTATGGGAGTCTGTTGCCCAACTTATCAATGCTGTGAGTATGCGTCTGCATGTGCTTGAGTGTGCATACCATAGATATCCCAACATGTTAGTTGCTGTATTGAGTGGTTATCCATGTTCTTTGCCCCACAGTGCCAATGGATGTCTGCGTATTTAACAACACTGAATATCAGGTGAGAATGCTATCTATGCAATGTTCATTTTGGCCAGTCCCACCACTTCTACACTATCAACAATTTTGAATTTAACTTATTAAAAGAGGACAAAGTTATTTTACTTGCATACATTAATAACAAATGAAGTTAAACTAAACAAATTAAAACCCTCCATAAAGCAATTAGAGGCCTCTATTAGGGTCAATCCTTTCATGAGATTAGACAAACATTAGATTAGATAGAACACAAAAAGTGTCTCAATTCATACATTTTCCATTGAAATGTTGCATTTTCTCATTCCAGCCTGGTGCCAATGTTCCCGAGGACAAGTGTAAGAATTGTGTGTGTGGTGACAGGGTGGATCCCCAAACCCATCTACATATCATTGAGTGTCAACCTACTGAATGTGACACTCACTGCCAGCAGGTAAGTGATCTCCATTAACACATTTACACCCTTTGGCCTCATATGTAATTCAACCAATATTTGCCAAGTTCTTATCCATGTCAAAATATTATAATAACCCTGATTCATCTGTGTCCACAATTGGGCTACTACTGAATAAGTGTAATTACTAGTGAATTACCTGGATCACACATTGGTATGAGAGAGATCATGTGCACATCATAAAGGTTTTCTCCTCTCTGGGCTGACTTCTTCCTTACAGGGCTATGATCATCAAGCCGTTCCTGGGCAGTGTTGTGGGAAGTGTGTACAGACAAGCTGTGTGGTTATGCTGCCAGATAACACCACACACACTATTCAGGTAAAATAGCATCAGGCAGCATTACTATTTACAATTCGTTAAACATATCAGTCCTATTTCGCTTGATTATTTAAAAACACCAACATGTAATTGTACTGTAGCACTAAAGTGTTATGCAAAATAACTATCTTACCAATGATACAGTATATCTTAAATCATTTGAAGAATCTCCTGTTGATATCTTTCACATTCTCACCTCTACAGCCTGGTTCCATCTGGATACCATCTGGAGACAAGTGTCTCAAGTTTGAGTGCGTAAAGATTATGGACCAACTCATCACAATGGAGGCTAAGACTGTGTGCCCTGACTTCTACCCAGAAGACTGCATACCCGTGAGTTACAATAAATTATCTGTAGTCCGGGAAACTGGCCCATTTTAAAAACAACTGGACAATGTGCAAAATCATACTTGTGAAATTCAGTTTAAACATGCCCAGTCGCTCAGACCAAGTCCTGTTGCTTAATATGGTAAACCTACTGTGTATTTATGTGAGGTTACAGACACCTGCTGCTTAAAGTGAACCATGCAAGAGCACTGCACTGAAAAACATGTGGAGCCGGTTTGGTAAACGCTACGTCAGTGACTTAAAAATGTCCTTGTTTTTTCTTCCATGTTCTTGTTTTTAAGGGAACTGAAGTCATTGCTCCAGATGGTTGCTGCCATGTCTGTGAGTGTCTTTTTAACACCATCCTTTTTGATGGACATTTGTAAATCATTCTTCCCCTTTATCATGCATTGAAAAAATAATTTTAGCTATTGCCATGGTCCTCAGGATGATTAACATTAATTCATTTGAAAATGTCACTTTTGTGTCCAGGTATTCCAAAATATAAGCCATGCAACGTGACAAAGGGCAAAGTGTACCTGGACAGCAATGGCTGCAAGTCTGCAAATGAGGTGGAAGTGACAACATGCGGTGGATCCTGTGGCACCTATGCCATGTGAGTATTTTGATCATTCCTGAAATATTTCAGGAACACTAACACATTAATCCTCCCAATAAAGCAGAATTGGGCTGCCTGTCTAAATGCAAACTGCAAATTATATTTGCAGTAATATGTTATGTTACAATGGCTGTGTTTGCATATCAAATCAAATCAAATCACATTTTATTGGCCACATGCGCCGAATACAACAGGTGCAGACATTACAGTGAAATGCTTACTTACAGCCCTTAACCAACAGTGCATTTATTTTTAACAAAAAAGTAAAAATAAAACAACAACAAAAAAAGTGTTGAGAAAAAAAGAGCAGAATTAAAATAAAATAACTGTAGGGAGGCTATATATACAGGGGGGTACCGGTGCAGAGTCAATGTGCGGGGGCACCGGCTAGTTGAGGTAGTTGAAGTAATATGTACATGTGGGTAGAGTTAAAGTGACTATGCATAAATAATTAACAGAGTAGCAGCAGCGTAAAAGGATGGTGTGGGGGGGGGGCAGTGCAAATAGTCCGGGTAGCCATGATTAGCTGTTCAGGAGTCTTATGGCTTGGGGGTAGAAGCTGTTGAGAAGTCTGAGTTTACACAGGCAGCCCAATTCTGATATTTTGCCCAATTATTGGCAAAAGAGCTCATCTGATTGGTCAAAACATCAGAATTAGTCTGCCTGTGTAAACTCAGTCAGTGTTATATAATTACAACTGCTACCATCACTACTTCCACATAATGACATGGCCTCTCGTTTCTGTTTTCAGGTATTCTCTTGAGGCCAACATGATGGAGCGCTCTTGTAGCTGCTGTCGGGAAGTATCCACCACCAAGAAGGAAGTGGAGATGATCTGCCCAGACGGGTCAAAGTACAACCACTCCTACATCCACATCAATAAATGTGGCTGCCAGAGGACAGAGTGCGTGACCCCGGAGGAGACCCAGGTCACAAGGTCACGACGCAGGAGAAGATGAATGACTCGCCACTACCATCCCTTTACTGCTTAGATTAGTTCTCTATTTATGTTCAACTTGTTCACTTTCCTGCAAAGTACTCTGCTAAAAGTAGGATAAATAGTTTCAGCTTTTTTGTCTAATTTTGTTTTGTTTTAGCCATTCAAAACACATAAATAAATTTGGCAACAGGCTATGCATATATACCACGTTCTTGTTTTCATTCCTTTTGAAATTCTGTTGAGAAATATTTGATTGCAGACATCCAGTTCAACAGTGACTTATCCTCTTCCAGACAAACAACCACAATTCAAAGTGTCAAAACAAATTTGAGATGGTGTTAGGTTAGAGAAACTGATCAGTAATCAGAAAGTTGCTGGTTTCAGATCCCTGGCACCACTTCCTACAGTTGTCCTTGAGCAACGCACTTAGCTAACCTCTACATAGCTCCAGGGGCAGCACTGTGGCTGACCCTGTGCTCCTCCCTATACAGTACTAAAGACACATTTTCGCCTTTGATGGACTAATCATTTAATAAAGTACTTATCCTAACTCATCTCTCATATTAAATAAAGTATACATGATATAAAATTATAAACATAAAAACCAAGAAGGAGCAGATCACTTCATTTTAACTGTACAAAGTGTACAAAGTATAAAATGTACAAAATGCAAAGGGAAGTACATGGGGCATGTGTGATTATATATAACAAACTGGGTATTGTGCATTATGCACTTAAACAATTTCTTTCAAATGTTTTTGATACTGTTTGTCAAACTGTGGGAATGTTCCCACCTTAGTTGGAGGGAATTATACAACTATTTTGCTATTTGTTTGCTATTATAACCAGTCCTCTGTTACAGATGACTTACCTTACTGATGTTGTAGCCTCACAACAATCAGACAAAATGTGGATCAATAGACATTCAAATGAAAACTAATATTGCAGAAAAGAGCACTCTGCCTGCTTTATAACATGATCATGTTATACTGACTTGTTTACACCTGGCACAACAAGTGTTGGTGTCCAAAGGAACATTTTGCTAACATCTTTTGGTTAGTTGAGGCTTCAATGGCTCTTTAAAATTTGAAATACTCTCTACAGATTCTTGAAACACCTTACCTGAAACAGAATGATGGATAATGGTATAATGGGCCACGTTCTTGTTTTCATTCCTTTTGAAATTCTGCTGAGAACTATTTGATTGAAGACGTAGCGGTATTTATATGTACCACAGTAGCGGTATTTATATGTACCACAGAAGAACCAAGAAATTAGAGTGACACCACGGCTGTCTTTTTTAGTTTTTCTGTAGATCTGCAATACTATTATGAAAAGACAGGACAGGAATACATCAGTCTCCAATGCTCCATCTGACAAGTTGTTCTATAGAGGAGCATGAAGAAAAGTAAAACATATATCCTGTTAGGTGCTTTCAGTGTTGACAGTATTAAAATACAACAACTCATGTACAAAAACACTGTAATAAAAACAAGCTAATCATCACCTAATTTGCATAATTGGCCATGTGCATGTAATTGTGATGGACGCTGTAGGAGTGAGGAATAACGTAGTGGGAGAGACAAAAAGTGAGTACAAAACACCCTAAATATATTTAGAACTACAAATGAACTTTCTTCTGTCGATTCTTGTTTTTTTTTATGTCACAATTCCAACCCTCCTCCTTTATCCAGGCTTGGAACCGGCAAAAGTGACCCAAAAGAGACACTCTGGCGGAGTTACTTAGTTTTTTATTTTATTTTATGTTTTTAGTTTAGTTTTCTTAAGTTTGGTTTGGTTTTTAACCTTATGGTCCACTTAGGAGCCAACAACAAGTCACAGTAAAACATGAACATTTTTAACCATAACATTTTAAACCTTTTTTTGTATACAATCTACGTTAACAATCTAAATGGACCAAAAAGAGACAATAGAAAAAGCAGCTGATGTGCCAAAAAGCTGCAAAACATTATCAGGCAGCTGGTGCTCATAGCAAGCCTCACCAGACAGCTTCAGTCCATATCGAATGAAGGGTCTGCAAGGACATCCGATTTCTAATAATATGCCATTTAGCAGACGCTTTTATCCAAAGCGACTTACAGTCATGCGTGCATACATTTTTTTTTGTGTATGGGTGGTCCCGGGGATCGAACCCACTACCTTGGCGTTACAAGCTCCGTGCTCTACCAGCTGAGCTACAGAGGACCACAAGTTCTAAGTTTGCTTTTTACCACATTCATCTGGCTGAAAACTCTCTCGACTTCAGCATTCGAGTGTGGCAAGGACAACACAGACACAGCAGCCATGGCAAGTTCTTGAAACGGGTTGATATCAGCTGCATCCCTGAACTTCCAAATCTCACTCCAGAAGCCCAGTGTGTTTTTTGTCTCATTCCATTTACTAAGATGGATGGCACGCCATTGCTAGACAATCTTGTCTATCTCTGCAGGGGAGTAGCCAAGGAGCTTGACTATTTTTTATATTTCTCCAGGGCTCTTATTGTGCTTTAGACTTTCCTCCACATTGAAAACTGACATGTACTGCAATGCTTCGATGTTGTCCGGCAGTCTCACCATCAACTCATTAGTGAGGGAGATGGTGAAGGCTACACACCACTTTCGGACATTGTTTTCATCCTCAGGCGCAAGGTGGAGCTCAGCTGCCTTTGACTCAAAAAGGTAACCAAGGTACGGTTTGGGACTGATGTATCCATCAATTGGCCCTTTGAGTACATCAACATTTGCCAGTGGATTCAGCACCCTGCTGCTCACAGACTTGATCAAGCTAACCAAGCTGTCAAGTAGCTTAAGAGGATCTACTTGCTCTCCCTCAAAAGCCTTGATGGCCAACTGTACCTCACCCAGCACTGACTTCAAAAAAGTCAGATACAATATGTTTTGAGGATCACTGTACATGGAGTACAAAACCTCAACCATGTAGCAGTGTTCACTGGACTTGGTGACTGCAAAATGCAGCCTAAGCTCCTCCCACTGGTCCCAAAAACAAAACTCCCACTTAGAAGACACTAGATAATAACACGTTTTATTAAGTAAACTACACCTTCCACTATAAACCTATAACCCTTTTTAGTAATTTAAACATCGCAAACTGTTGCATTGATGTTATTTAAAATATAAATATATTGTTTCATAATCCAAAACCCATAAAAAGGTGTCTACTTAATCCATCAGGCCAACAGCAACAACTACCTCCCATCGTTCAACGTACTATAAACATATTATCGTTATCTGAAGTAATGAACCATCGTCATAACTCACCGCTGTTTAACCAAACGATATAATGTCATAATAAAATGATCAATTATCAAATATCGTTCCTTATTCAACTATCGAGACATGTTCTTCATTAGTAAATCGTCTCCACAAAGCAATACTACCTAATAACATATTCTCATTCTCCTAAAAATAAATAATTGCTTCTATTAAACAATCCCATTTAACATCAAGTCAACCTGTCTCATCATCCAATTAACGTACTTATTTTTTAAACCCTCTACAATATCTATCATACTCTACCGCTAATTTTCCTCATAACGGTACCTCAACAGATGATAAATTAATTTAAAGCTATAGTCAAAACTAATAAAACATCCATTCACCGATATGCAATTTTAATCTTTCCTATAATGTTATCAATGAAACCAGTAATTCACGTCAATAGCATCAATGTAAAAAATGTGCTTTCTGTTCCTTACTAGATTCGAACCAGGGACCCTCTGCACACATCGACAACACTCACCATTGAAGCACCGTTACCCGTCGCTCCACAAAAGCCGCTGCCCCTGCAAAGCAACTACTTCCAGTTCATAGAGCAAGTGACGTCACCCAACGAAAAACAGCACTAGCTCTCACCGCTAACTAGCTAGCAATTTCCTGCCGATAATATTCAACCTCCTACGACTTCCTACACCTAACGTAACCCATAATGTGCCTTATAGCGCTCTCACGTTTCAGCAAGCCCCAATGGTTAACACCCGCAGACAAAAATGGAAATTCTTCCATTTTTACTAGCAGACCTAATAAAACACACTTTCAAACAGCATTCTGCATTTACCTCTATCATAGGGTTTAAAAACGAACTTAACAACATTAACCATCCTAAATTGCCATAGTAACGTCATGTTTGGTTCAGTTTATCTATTACCATGTAAGACATTCACTTCTCCATGCGTCGTAAACTATATCCTATTTCTCTTGTAATCAACTAAAATCATAGCCACGCAATTAAACCATCACTCCGCCATTATCAGAATGAATGAGATCTATTCAACTATCCTTTCTAAGTAAGCTACAAGTAACACCAAACACTTGCTGTAGTTTACCATCATATATTGAAATCCTCCATTTATCACGATCCAATTTATTTATAGACATATTCCACCATTGTCACTTGTTTAATCTAGCAAAACCTTATTCAATGTCCAAAAAATTACTACCACACACTCTTCTCTCCATACCCATTAAGATTTTTACATGTTAGTCATTTAGCTGATGCTCTTATTCCAAGCAACCCACAATTAGTGAGCTCATACATTTCTATACTTATTCTAGCCCCCCTTGGGAATCGAACACACAACCCTGGCGTTGCAAGCACCGTGCTCTACCAACTGAGCTACAGAGGACCACAGATGAGTGTATAGTGCCTTTTTCTGATAATGTTATAATTATAGCCTATTGCATTACTTTAGTTTAAAATATAAGTTTGTTTATTCAACAAATCTAGAACCCACTATAAATTGGTGCTATTCACTCAGCATAATAGCCAAAGCTCCTTGCATCCCCTGGTTCACGTAACGAAAATACATTATCATTCTAGAATTCACCAACTATTCGCATACATCACTGGTGTCACGCAAACTATAGAATAACGTAATAACAATTAGAATGTGTCAAATTTTTTAATTTTTTTATTTCACCTTTATTTAACCAGGTAAGCCAGTTGAGAACAGGTTCTCATTTACAACTGCGACCTGGCCAAGATAAAGCAAAGTAGTGCAATAAAAACAACAGAGTTACATATGGGGTAAAAAACAACAACATAAAGTCAGAAATACAACAGAAAATATATATACAGTGTGTGCAAATGTAGCAAGTTATGGAGGTAAGGCAATAAATAGGCTATAGTGCAGAATAATTACAATAGTATTAACACTGGAATGCTAGATGTGCAAGAGATTATGTGCAAATAGAGATACTGGGGTGCAAAAGAGCAAAATAAATAACAATATAGGGATGAGGTAGTTGGGTGGGCTAATTTCGGATGGGCTGTGTACAGGTGCAGTGATCGGTAAGGTGCTCTGACAACTGATGCTTAAAGTTATTGAGGGAGATAAGAGTCTCCAGCTTCAGAGATTTTTGCAATTCGTTCCAGTCATTGGCAGCAGAGAACTGGAAGGAATGGCGGCCAAAGGAGGTGTTGGCTTTGGGAATGACCAGTGAGATATACCTGCTGGAGCGCAGACTACGGGTGGGTGCTGCTATGGTGACCAATGAGCTAAGATAAGGCGGGGATTTGCCTAGCAGTGATTTATAGATGGCCTGGAGCCAGTGGGTTTGACG